GAGAGAGAGAGAGAGAGAGAGAGAGAGAGAGAGAGAGAGAGAGAGAGAGAGAAGAGACACAGAGAGAGAGAGAGAAAAGAGAGACAGAGAGAGAAAGAAAAGAGAGAACATACTTCATGATAGATTCCGTTGCACAGGAGTTTGAGTGATGCATGAACTTACGGAACATTCATTAATCTGCACCACTGAACTGATTGGTACTAATAATGGATTTCGTAGAACAGAGAAAAGACATGACATGACGCCAGAAATCTGCTATTATCCATTCAAGAAAACAGATCACCACAGTGTATAGCAGCTAATGAGCGTGTCAACCCTCTGCAGAGCCTATCCTGGCCCTCAACTGCTTCCACAAGGCAGCAAATTTACCAGTATAATCTCCGTGGTTAAAGAGTTCCTAATGCTAAGAGTCAAGGGTTTATGATCTGTTTACGAACGGAGTTCAGGTTGTGAACTGATGATTAAAAGTGTTTCCTAAGGGTTCAACGTAGGAGGGTCCTTCCTTTCATGGACAAAGGAATAAGCTTAGAAGTTAGAAGGCAAAAAAAAAAAAAAAAAAAAGAAGGATCCAGTGCCGTGCCAGCCTATTCCGGGGCCAAGGAGTTAGGGTTACAAACTGACTGGGAAGATTTTCTTAAACCACCAGTACACTTGTGCCTTGATGCGCCTTACTGTGCTGCGCGCCAAGCTTTTCCCAACTGCCAGCAGTGCACTTCTTTTCTTTTGGGCTGCCGCAACCAGCCATTGTGGTCCGGTAGGCCGGGCCATTGCTACCGCCCGGTGGTGACGAGTTGCTTTTTCTGCAAGGCTGGGGCCATGTACTGGCGGTTTAAAAGTCCAGCATAAGAGAGTCAGTGTCCTGTAATGAAAGAATTAATGTTCTACAGAATGAGGCATACAGTTAAGATTTTGGTCCAGAAGTGTTTGAGTCTTTAGACTCTTACCGGCCACTGTGGTTGAATAATAAACAGCACCACACACACGTAGCTGTTCACACGTTGCAAGTTTCATTGCCTGACAGCTACAATAATGATTCAATATCTAATGTTAGCGGGTAAAATCCTGTTAAAAGAAAAACAAAAAAAAACACGAAATTGTTACCGCTTTCCTTTCTCATATGAGGGGCCGCGGGCCTCAAATTCAAATTTGGCCGCCACGCGCCGTCGATGGAAAATATCGTCGGCGGAGTGGCGGCTACTTTTCAGGAGTACGCTACTAGATGCCCGCGGCCGACATATGGGAAAGGTAGTGGCGGTTTAAGAAATTAAAAAAAAAAAAAAAAAAGGACTCTTAAGAAGCCCCTCCAGTGATCATGGGCAAGGAATCGCACCTCCAGCATGTCCAACCATCGGTTCGCAACAGCAGCGACTGCATCATAACACTCCTCAAGTGTTGTACCCCCCAGAAAATTCTCAAACACCTCCGACTGCCATTATCAGATGCAACACGTTCAGTTAGCAGAACAATACAACAAAGCACCACGTGGAAGAATTTATGTTAAATGAACTTAAATCAATGTAACCAAAATATTTCAAGAGTTCCACTCTTTCACGCCAACCAACTTATCGGACATGCCATAGCTTTTTTCCGTCTAGAGGGGAACCGTGATAGTTAACCTGCCAGACACAAGCCAGCAACCTACTCAACAACTCTTCATGCAATCATCTGCATCAAGACCCGGGCTCAGATTTCAATCGCTGCACTAAACACTCTACACATGTGCATTACCCATGAAGCACAATCCCGATCTGGTGGGAAAGAGGTGCATGACAAATGAATGTCGTTATCGCGACATTCAACCGGTGCTTGGCAGTGGGCCACGATGTCTAGCCGGAGCTGAAAGGCCTGGACAGAACATCAGGCCCAGAAGATCGTCCGATATCCAACGTCAACAGACCTGTTCGATCCTTTCTCTGGAACTGACCCCATCCAGGCTCCACAAATCCACCCTTGTCCTACTGGGGTTTAAGGCCAATTTTTCACATTTTCCAGTGGAGATTTGCTCGAGAATAAATACATAAAACTATTTCTGCAAAAATGCTCATTGCCGGGCTTGCCCTTTCGCTTGGTGCCATCTTCTTGAAGTCAATTTGTAACCCACTAGACATACCGATCCTTGATTGGCAAAAGTGAGCTAGCCTCAAAACTCCTTGCCTAGGGAGGAATGGATATGTGACACTGTGTGACAGTGTGACAGTGTGACAGTGTGACAGTATGACAGTGTGAAACTGTGTGACACTGTGTGACACTGTGACAGTGTGTGACAGTGTGCGACAGCGTGTGATAGTGTGACTCAAACGTCGCATACAAAGGACAGAAGCGGGAGTATATCACCATGAGTGTGTCATTACCAAAGACTACTTCTGGTGGGAGGATCAGGGTAGGCGAAGCAAGATGATGCTTGAGTAGCTGACAGTTGCAATCTTGCAGAACCATTCGTTTTTCATTTTGTATCTTTTTGTTTTGTTGAGTTGATTAGGGAAAAAAAAAAAGAATGTTGTCATATCAACATACGATTGTGAGTCGTGACTATGTGAGTCGTGACTATGTGAGTCGTGACTATGTGAGTCGTGATTATGAAATGAATCTCATTGGGAAAATTTGTACCATCCCAGACGGTTTCGAATTTCAATTCATGCCCACACGAATGGGTGCCCGATGAGACTTTTCCCTGGAAGTTAATTCCCCTTGAATGGATAGTCGTGTCAGAGTTCAAAGGCAAACAAAAGTCACTTTTGTTCATTAGCATCATCTACCGAAAGCTGCCCCTGGGCCCTGACTAAACAAAATAAACAAAACGGGAAATCACCTGCTGACCTGGAACACCTTGATGAGCTTCAGCTCTCCCCTTCGCTTCACCTCGAACCCTTTCAGTTCGGCAAGTGTACCATCATGGTTGAACACTGCATATCGCTTCTTGATTACACCGCCCTCTTCTTTTGAGGCTGGAAGAATCATTGCCTGAAATATCCATCAAAAGCAACCCGACGAAATTAGGAAAGACAGGGATCCACAGTGCCACAGCTGCAGTGTGTTCTACAGGACAGACAGAGCTAACCTTTTCTTAATGCACTTTCTGAAGTCATTCACTTTACTCATCATAAGCATGTCCAAGAACAAACACCCAGGTACACGACGCATAATCAACCCCCCCATGTCGTGGAGATGGAGGAAGAGAATTAGAGAGAAAGATCCTCTCACCAACAAAACTTAGTCTAGAGGGGGGAGGGGGGGGGAGACATGTCAGAGAGAAAGATCGTCTCACAAACAAAACTTAGTTTAGGGAGGGGGGGGGGGGGGGAAGGGGGGAGGGGGCAAAACCATGTCAAATTTTGAATTGAGACCTGATCATGCTATGGATAAGGAGCATACATGTGGCGCATCACGTGCGCGCACACGTGATGTGGCGCATTTACTAAATAATAAATAAAAAAATAAAAAAGGGTAGGCCGTGGTAACCATAAGTGTCCCTCCCTTGTGAAAATTGTAAGTGCACAGAAAAGAAATATTTTGGGGCCACTTCATACTACTCCTTGGATATATTCTCTTTTCCAAAAGGTCCCCTGCAAAGAACCAGCAGGGCTCCCATGCTTGTGGAAGGATGTTCGTTGAACTGCTGGCAGACCACGAGCAGGCCAGCAATATATCCTGGATTCGGATTCGGGTCTGTGTTCCAAGAGTTATGACTTACGATAGTATTACAAACACTACCGTAGCTGTCTCGTTTTCTTGTTTTTCCTTTTCTTACGTGCCCTAAGGGCCTCGCTCCGCTCATCAGAAAAGAAAAACATATGGCTTGTATGGTTCCAGTTTCTAGGAGAAAATTCATTCTAGTTTTGCACATTTGGTGAGTAGTGGAGTGAAGGCCTGAAAATCACATGCTGACTTAGTAAGTCAGTAACCCATAACTGCTGAAACACGGACCTGAATTCGGAGCTACACCATATATAGCTGGCATGCTCCCTCCTTACTACAAGCCCAGTGACTACCCTTCTCCTGCCGACGGGACCCTTCCCAATTTTTGGTAAAGTACCGGCAGGGATTGTCTGAATTATGTGAAAGGGCTCTTTTCTCTCTCTCTCTCTCTCTCTCTCTCTCTCTCTCTCTCTCTCTCTCTCTCTCTCNATCCAAGAAAAAACTAGGATGACTCAGATCCTTCGCAGATCTTATGCTGTAGGCTGATGAGTTTGGTAATTCCGACATAGTTGCACTACTCGCCATCCGCTACAATTTTGAATGCCCGAGGACGAATTCCCTGTCCAGATTCATTCAGAATTTGGGCGAACAGCAAGTGGTGCAACTAGGCCGTTCAAAAGAGAAGGTTGGGCCCAAACTGCTTGAGGGCAAGAGTGGGGAAACACAAGATATTGGGGCCTGAAAATTGTGTGGTGCCAAAGTAGTTTGAAGACCAGCGCCCAGCAAGCCCGGTCACATTACACATTGGCATTTCAATTTCAGCTGTCACAAAAGCACAAAACCAGCTCAAGGTGCATGGTGTGTTGGTCACCCTAATGTATTGGTGTGATTTTTTTTCCCCTTTCCGATTACTGCCCTCACCAGGGTTGCCACTACCATCTTCACCGGAATAGAACGCCCAGCGGCCCATTCATTATAGCTGTATTTGGGGCAACTTTCAAGCCAGATGCAGTGATAATGACAGGGCGCTCTATTCGGGTGACGACCGTAGGTTTGCAGTCGTGGAGTTGGAAATATGAGTTGTTTATCCCTCACCATACAGTTTAATCAAAGGGATGTTGATATTGTGCAAAGAAAGAGCATTGATCAAATTAATTAATGTACAGTGAACAATACAAGGCATTGACAAATTTGACTTCAATTTTCTTATTTGAAGTTATTTGTATTTCCTCCCAAGAAACAACAAGCTCCCGAAAAGCTTTTGTGCCCGCTTTGTTATCATTACCAGATATCATCACCAGGTTCAGCATCGTCTCCCCCACCAAACACCCTTTCAAACGCCAATAATTAATCCTAGTGAAAGAAAAAGCCAAAAATAAAAAAAGCCTCTTTCCTTTCATTTCACTCTGGATTTTGTATCATGCTTGCCCGTGATAAGCAACCGGACTGCTGCCCTCGTGAATCAATTTGGACCTTGTTTTTTGGATTAGAAAAAAAATATAAAAAAGAGAAAAGAAAAGAAAAGAAAAAAAGTCATGGAAGCTCATGAGGTGATAGACGTCACTCACTTCCTCATGACATATCCGTAGAAGGAATTCAAAATGCACTTGTGTGCCAACTGTAGAGAATCATACCTGTCTCTTATACACATCTAGATGTGTATAAGAGACAGGTGTATACACATCACGTTTGCTTCTTTTCTTTTCTTTTCTTTTTTTTCGCGCATCTGCGATCAGCGCACCGTGCAGCGCAGTTCATCTACGCGCCGCAAGTATGAGTCAATGATGTCGTGCACAAGAACCTAGTCATGCTATATGGATAGGGACATGGTCAGAACGTGTAGAGAACAACATACACAGGTCACACAGTCATCAAGGTTGGCATCGCTTCAGAACGGAACCCAAGGAAGCCACGATGCGTGGAAGTTAGATTTGTGAACTGTGTAGCCGTGGACATGTTCCAACTTTTTCATAGTTGAAAAAAAAAATGCAAAACCCACTCTGTGTACCATGAGCCGTTCAAGTTTCCTGATTCAATAAAAGCAATTGTGGAATGAAAAAAAGAAAAGCAAAAACTACTTCGTGTGTCGAGAACCTCGTTTCTACCCCCGACACCCGAGCTCCATAGCCCTACATCTGCTGGCCTATGTTCTTCTCATACCTGGCTCTTGAGGCCGAGGTCGCCGGTTCGAATCCGTGCTTGCACGGTGGAGGACGCCGGGCTCATGCAGGGATGGGTAGTGCCATCCTGTAACCTCAGCTGTGGGGGAGCTAGATGTGCAGATTCATTTAGCTGCTGCTATGTTTCTCGTTGATTCCTAAACTTTGATCCAGCAAGTGCACATAAGAGAATGGTATAGAGTGGACTCACCTTGTTTACGGATAAGTGAGTGGTGGATATGCTTGTGCCTATTGGTTCAGTTCGGCAGCAGCACCCCACCCTCGACTATGTCTGTTGGAAGCGTCACATACAATTTGTCGGAATCTGTTCGATTTCATGCTGGAGATTCATCCTCGTAGCACGAGTGTTGTACTATGCAGTTGTCTGTGTGATAAGTGAATGTCCATCTGTGAAACTGACTCACCTTGTATGGTCCATCGACTTCAAACTCAATGGAACACTCACTGCTTGTCTTATAGATATGTCTGACTGGATCGATCAAGGTCTGCATCCACAAAATCACCACAACAACTGAGTGGGAATTGTTTTCAAGAAATATTTCGTCATTAAAATGAGCAACACCTTACATTAGCAATTAAAAAAATACAAAGAGGCGCAAACACGCAATTCCCCACACCTCATGACAAGCAAAGCAATACAGGCTGAAAACAGTGGAAACACTGGAAAGTTGATAACTGATCTTTTATAAGGCTGACCCATGGACAATGAAACAGTTCTAAAGGCGTACACCAACCAATCCGGCGAAGTGGCAAGAGTGAAAACAGTTCGGAAACCCCAACAAGCCTGAAAAGTTGTGAAAACCAACCATAACCCGAATGAGCCGGAAATCAAGCATAACCATAGTGCGCCAGAAACCAACCATAAAGTGCCATAAACATATGAATACCATTGCCTGCCCACCACATCTTCCCTTGCATGTAAAACACCTTCGTCACAATTTTTACCCAACCGGAAAGATAACTCGAATATATTTGTAATCAGGGTGCAGGAAACCAACCATACAGTGGCATAAACATATGAATACCATTGCCTGCCTACCATCTTCACTCGCAGATAAAACACCTCGTCACGAATATTACTATACTGCCAACCAGAAAGATAGCTCAAACGTATTTGTAATCAGGGTGCATTGTGTTCGGGGGACGACAGTAAGACAGTAACCTGGTTTGCCATTGCAGGAATTGTCCAGTTGTTTTTCTCTTTTTTGGAAGCTTTTCCCGAAACGGAAAGAAAAAAAGGGGATAGGACGGGCACTAGGGTTTGACAAATATGAGGAGGCTCATAAGCCTTTTTCGGAAGCGTTTCCCCAAATGGAAAGAGAAAAGAGGATTGCATGTGCAGGAGGGACTTATAAAAATGACAAGGCTCAGAGGAACGCAGTCAGGTGTTTGGATACGGCTGTGAGTACCAAAAGGGGGAAGGGGAATCAACTGCAAGATAAGAAAGATACGACAACTCAATTTTGCCAATGACTTCAGAAAACACTGAGCTGCTAGACATGTGCTTGAAAAAAAAAAAAAAAAAAAACACGAACGTAAGTTGTTTTACTCAGTTTCGCAATTGATCCAATCCAATTGCTTTTCGTAACAGAAGCTTGTATCTTTCTTTTACTAATTAGTAATTAGTCTTTGCTTACGATACTCACTGTCACAGTGAGTTGCTAAACATGTTTTGATGTGTATATCATCTAGAACTGTGCTGGCCGCTCGCGAATCAAAAGAACGCCAATTCGAACAAAAAGCCGAACAATAAAGTTACGCAGGCAGGTTCACTCCTGCGCAGAAACATTCAATGCCAAAGAAACTGAAAATCCATTTTATGTCTTTTCGAAACTTGTTTCCCTTTTTTCAAAGGGTTTACACCATAATTATTGTGTCCAAAGGGGTTTGAACTCTTACTCTGTTTATCGACAGTCACTTATGTGTATCATTCAGCCACAAATCTTCCATGATTGAAAGTTTCATGAACTTTAATTCAATTATGAGTTTTGGGATCAACATCTCAAGTATGGGGGATAAGGACAGGACACCATGGGAATAAAAATGACCATATTTGGATGCAAAAAAAAAGCATCTCCCAGGATACCAACCAGAGGAGAGTGCTCGGGTCTAGTGGGTGAAGGAGATCACCTGATACTGGTCGTTCGTGTTGTTCCTTGCAACATCAACGTTCAGCATAACGCACGGATACGAGATGGTCAAAGACTTCTTCTTCTCATTACTACAACAGAAAAACATTGCCAATCAATCACACGATCCCCCAACTGTCAGTCTTTTGTCATTTTACTTATTGGCAGTACTACATTGTTACGGGAGCGGTGCAACAGGGTCATAGGCCATGAACTTACCACAGTTACAAAGTTACCTCTGGTAATGCAAAGTTCTAACTCATCAATACTCACCGTAGTTACGAACTCACCACCGTTACAAATGTATCACCGCTAGTGCAACAGTAAAACTCTCAAGTTAAGAACCAACCTTAGTTACTCGCGCGATTTTCGGGCTCAATGAGCTCGAAGTCAGCGTGGGTGGTGTGGGTTGACGTGAGCGATTGCTTACGCAACGAGTACTGCGCTGAATGCTGTTGCTACGGGCTACCCGGCCACAAGTGACTACTTTGTGTTAACTCTTTTCGGCAATTTCCTGACGTTCGTGTTCGTTTTTGCACGTATGTCTACGAGATTGGTTTGTGACTCGCATGTGCTTATCATGAATGAATATTGCTTCTTCTACCAAACTTACAAAGCCATTTACAAGGTTACCACAGCTAGTGCGAAGTCGTAAACTCTCAAGTTCAGCAGTAACCTGAGTTACGAACTTACCACAGTCACAAAGCCATACAAATTTAGCACGGCCAATGCAAAGTCGTACAGTTTCAAGTTAAGAAGCAACCTTATTTACGAGCATACCACAATAAGAAAGCCATTTACAAAGTTACAATGGCTAGTGCAAAGTCATAAACTCTCAAAGTTAAAAAGTAACCTCAGCTACGAACTCAAAAAAGTTACAAAGTAATTTACAAAGTTAACCACGACAAGTGTAAAGTTGTAAACTCTCATGCTCAGATGTAACCTTACAAACTTACCGCAGTTAGGGCATTCTCACACAAACACTTTTTTTTCCCTTTTTTCCACTAACACTTTTTTACTTATTTCTGGACAGAATTGAAGCCAGATGCATACAGGTTTGGCCGGAAATGCGGTCAGATACATTTTAGATAGTGCTACTGTGAGTATGCCCTTACAAGTCCACCTTTGTTATGGAGTTACCATAGTTATAACGATGCCCCAGTGGCTGGCAAATCGCAAGCATTCCTTGACCAGAAACAAAAAAGGAAAAGTGGAAAACTTCAAGGCCTTTAAAAACGTAGGTGGAGCGAAGGGAAGAACCAGCCCAACTACAACTCTTACATCACCTCCTTTTGCTATTCAGTCAACATTTCTTTGGAGGTTCGGATGTCGAACAGCGGCGTACCTGTATGCATGCATAACCAGCATAACAAAAACGCAAAAAACTCCAAGAGATTCGCCAAAACTACCATATGCTGCACTGGCAACCCTAAGCTTGAGTGGTGAGGGGAACAAAGCCAGGAGCTGCGCTCACATGCACACATCATACGCTCTTCTGAAATTACATGAGTATTAAGTAAGGATAAAAAGTTAAAAACATAAAAATAAACAAAAATACTTGAAAAATATCAAGTTCCAACGAAAACAAAGCATGGACAAGAAATTACAAGAGAAAAGATTATGAATGCAAGCGAACAACAACTCACCTGGTTTTGAACGTGAAGTTTTCTGGGAAAGAGCCCGGCAAAGCACACCAAATACCATCTGTGTCCAGTTCCAATGGTTTACCAATCTGCTCCACCAAACAGCGTGCATTCTGAATGATTTTTGCCCCCGTGTATGTAACAACGCCTGCCATTTCCATCGAGTACCAGCGGGCTCCTCTGGTCATGGGCAATCATCAGAGTCACAAGGCATACATAAATATATCATCTCATCTGTCGAATGACCATGCAAGAGGTACTTATGATCAAATGCTTATTGTAATCCTATAAGGGACGGTGGGCCCGCTTCCCAGCACGTGTTGCTCCCCACGAACAGCTCGGAGCACTTGAAAAAAAAAAAAAAAAAAAAAAAGTCATGCAGTGGTGGTCATACATGGTGGGCTTACCCGATTGTACTTAACCCAACAATGGATGTCATATACATTGAGCAGGAGACGACTTTTCTAGTTATGGACATTGACAATCACATGCCAAACACAAACCATCACCTCGACAGCACTACCGCCTTCCCCCGAACATAACGCAGATGCGTTGTATATGAGTTTTGTAACAATTCAAAAATTCGAATAGAATAGAACGCATATGCGTTGTATTCGGAAATAAGCGCTCTTCAAATAGAACGCAAATGCGTTGAATTCAAAGAGAAAGTAGCCTACGCATTGTATTCATTTACAACGCATATGCGTTATGTTCGGGGGAAGACGGTAGTGCCTGGAGGTCACATAGGGGAAAGAGAGGCTCATACTCTTAATGCAGGCATATGCCAAACATGAATTCCACCTGAAGGTGCAGGTAATACACCTGGTAAACAAACCCAATCTTGGGTAAAGTAAACACCTCTAGCATAACTCAGACCAATCTTAGCTCTTGTTGCCTGCTGAATTCATGCTTTACGAAGCTTCAGTGAGGTCCTGATGTGATGTCCAATCCCGAGTCACCAGCTTGTCAGATTCAGGCATCAGCCTTTGACTTCGATTAGCCCATACTTTGGAACCAGATACTTCCCCCTTGTTCTC